AAGGTGATCTGATAATCTGCTTTTATTAAGGACCCAAACAGCCGGTCATTATTGCTAAATATCATAAACAAATGAGACTTCCTTTTAAAAAAATACACTTGTAACTTACTCAATATGGTACAAAATTTGGAATCACTCACACTCACGAGCGTCTTACAAACAGGAAACTTGCTGTATGCATTTCATAAAATGCCTTGAAGCTCACACACTATTTATTCTGCCCCCCCCCCCCACTCGGGCTCGGGCGCAGACACTCAAAGAATTAGTACTAGACATCATCATTCTCATCATCATTTTCATTTTCATCAACATTGACATCTATTTCAACTGTTTCCGGCCGTCGGCCCGATTGCTGCGCTTTTTTCTTAGCTAATAGGTTAGCTAACAATTTTGCTCTTCTCTTCGCTATTGGTTCAATTGCGTACGCTGGATTACGGCACTCCATTTCCCTATCTATCCTAGAGTCTGCAAGTTCAGGAAGCATGTAGTCTTTATAAAATTTTATTAATTTAGGTTTCTTCTCTTTCCAAAACTTTGAATCCCTATAAATTTTTTCCACCTTGATGTCCTCTGTAACTATGCTTTTTCCTTCCTTAACTTCTGTATGTCTGTTGTACAATACTAAGTCGCACCACGCCCGCCCCGTAATATTCAATTGCCCCTGAATTTGATAATAGTAATCATGGCCCCTAAACAATATAAACTCACCGCTGCCTTTTTTAGTTTCTCTCAAAGAGTCAATTTTACTCCCGTCTATATTCTTATATTTCTGACTGTTGGCGTAGAGGCATTTTACCTCAAGGAGGCCATTTGAGCCGACAAGTCGGTCAGGGCTAGCCACCAAAAATGGGGTTTCGGCGTCTACAAAGAGTCCACACTCCTTAGTGCTGACTGTAAATTTCCGTTCGTAAAACGCTACTGCGTCTTTCTCGTGAGTGATTCCGAATTCGATAGCACTTGGGAGTTTCTTCCACTTCTTTCTTCTGAGAATGGTCCTCAATAACTTATCGCATGGAATGTCCACGCCGCGAATTGCTGCTTTCTTGAAGTTCACTGAAGAGAGGGTGTCCCTGTGCCACTCTTCCCACAAGGGGTTGTCCTGCTGGCCGCGGGTGTCCCTCTCAATTATTGCTCGCTTCTCTGCAGTGTCCGCCGCCGCAAACTTCCTAGCCAAAATATCGGCGCACCTCTGCTGCAGGACGTCCTCCGACACGTCCGGCGTAGGGTCGCCGTAGTGGGCGTCGCGCCGGCCGCCAATGCGCTTCCTCTGGAAGCGCGAGGGGGCCTCGGGCCGTTCCTTGCACCGCTCCAAACTCATTGCGTTCAGCAATTTCTTCCTGGCTTTGGAGGAGCAGTGGTCCTTGTGCACCTTGCTGGGCGACTTATTCTTCTTTACTTTTCGCATTGGCGAAATGGTCCACTCGGGTCCCTTCTCGTAAGAGAGGGCACCCGCGTCGCACCGCCGCGCGTATCCACCGCTCATGGAATAATCCACTCTCTTGCCCCCCGTCATTTTGGCCACCATGCCCATGTACCTGCAAATTAGACCGTGATTTACCACATGCTAAATGGGGGAATGTCTAAATAACTAGGGCTCTAACATTTACCGGAATATCCGGGTACCAACCAGGGTTATATAGGGAAAAACCGTGCCTACACACTAAATCCTTAGGCACTTTGCTGTGCATAAGACTTGCAGAATTTTATACAGTCATAATATTATGCACAATTTTATGCATAATTGTGTACAGTGTGTGCATAATTGTGCACATTTTGTACACAATTATGCATAAAAGTTGTGCATACTTATGGCTGTATGAAATTCTGCAAGTTTATGCACAACATAATGCATAAGGGTTTAATGTGTAAGCGGTAGGCAGCACGCCAGTGCAAATACACCATATTGCCTACCACGAAGACACGGCTCATCCTCATATCAGCTGGGTACCCGGTCCTATTCACCGCCCCAAATGACCAGGATATTTGAGAGTCCTACTCAGAAAACGCAAGCGTGTGA